CATAAATAAAAGTTCTTTACAACAAAAAAGTTTAACGAACATATTTACATTAAAAGAAAATCATTACCAAATTTGGTTGTGAGATTCAAAATATTGTAGCACGAAAATTATTGTTCTGAGCATAACTTTCAAATTTAAAAAATTTATGAAAAGAAAATGAGACAAATTTTTTTTTTAGATTAATAGACCCCTTTTTAAAGCTGAATTGAATGGTGGCAGGTTTTTTAAAATCCAATGTGTGGATCACATAATATTTCAAAAATTTTAACTTTTGAGTATAGATGATCCGCACTGTCAGTTCGGTCATAACTGGTTTTTTATCAGAAAACCTATCAATTAATCGTTTTGCTTTGATATAAAAAAGCTATTTTATTTTATTAAATTACATTAAAAAAAATATAAGAAATTCAACTTGGCTATGCATATAATTTATATTATATACAAAATAAAATACGACTTTATATTTATTTTTTTAATTAAATTAGTTATGAAAGATTTTTTCCTAATTGAATTTTATCTACAAATAATATTTAAAAAAATTTGGCAATTTTTGCATTTATAATTTTATGTGACTCTAACTTTTTTGTGGTCAGTTTTGTGATTCAGTTTTTTTTATATAGTATCAGTTGTTTATGTGGGTTATAAATTTTTTTATAACAATCTAACAACTATTCCTTGGTAACATAAAATTAATTTCTTTATAATAGTTAACACATCTGTCACTATGCAGAAGCAGTGATTTCTTTTTTTCTTTCCAGGCAACTTGTGGGTTTTTATTAAGTGGAAAATCCAAGTCTTTTATAAATGTTTAACAAATTTTTAACTTTTTCACTAATACTAATTATTTCATCAATCTTTTGGCTTTGTTCTTTGAGAACACTTGTGATATATTATTATAAAGTTAGCTCTTGTGAGTTTTATAATGAGTAAAAAAGTCCAATCAATAATTCATAATAAACTCACTTGTAAAAGTATGCATTTTGCCAAATTTCATCAATATTAATTGAAGACCAATGTTCCAATTGCACAACACTGCATATAGGTAATACAATGTCACGAGACCAATTTTATTATTGCCGATTTTACTATTTATGGAATGGCTAAGAAATATCATATGAACAAACAATTTTTTATTACATTTTCCCAGGGAGCATCTCAAACTGCTACTTCAAAAAAAATAATTCAACTATAAAGTTCATCCAAGCAGTTTTCCTTGAGATAACAATAATTCCATTCTAATATTAATGTGCTTTATAAATTATCCTTAATTGCTGATTCGCGAATGAATCGGAGAAATGATCGACATTTTAATATAAAATTTTTATGCTAATTGTTATTAAT